GAGAGGAAGATACAGACGAGGTCATGTATAAAATTCATTTTTTCCAAAGAAAACAGCAAAAGAATCTTAGCGGAATATAGTCAAATAATTGAACAAAGTGAGAATTTGGAAAAGGAGATTGTACACATTAAAAGTGAAAAAATTTAAGTATCTTATCAAATGCATTGCACTATGATTAATGGAGCTGTTGCAAACACACTAACAAAAACTAACGCTTCCAGTAGGTGCTTTATTTGCCAAGTAAAGGCAGAGTGTCCAGATTTGGCGATTTCGCGCCAGTTTGGCGATTTTTTTTGGATACTTGCGCGTAAAAATTTAGGAAATCGCCATTGGCGATTTTTGGCTTCAAATAAATTTTTTCCAATTATAAAAATATACAAAACATAGTTTTCCAGGATAATTTTACAAAAGAGGATAATGAACTGCGTGATAAACTTGACTTAAGAAGCATATTAAAAGACTGTCAAAAATTGTTGATCACCCTAATCGAAGAAATTTTGAAACGATTACCTAGTCAATTAAATACTTTTAAAAAGCTTTGATTGTGTCACCAGAAAAGTGTGTGAATCACAAGAGGTCGAGTTTCAGGGACCTGCCAATAACTTTTTTCTGAACCATTTCATCCGACTGCACATTAGGTCAAATGATTACTTTTTCTGTGCGAAATTAATAGCAGCTAAAATATTGCATTATTTTAATGTAAAAAGATGGCAAACTTTAAAACAAGTGTAAAGGCGTAAATAAAATGTTAAACAGACTTGGCTTTCGTAAAACAGACTTTACTGCTTTTTTGAAGGTTCAAATGATGAGTATATATGTTTAGGTAGTACTCAAAAAGATTGTCCAATTAGCTTGGTTTTGACACAAGTTATTTTCAAACCATACTCAACCCCCTCCCCTTTAAAATGAGCTACATAATAAAATAAGTATGGGTCACATGTACATAAATAGTTTCTTCTAGCGATTAGTTATGGCATTATCGAAATTCCTAAATTAAAAAAAATATATATATTTACTACATGTCTCGCAGATATGTTTTGAGGCGAGATTCCTAAAGCAGTTAGTCTTCATAACACACTTCATTTTAACTTGAGGTTTCAGTATTTCCAAGTTCTCCACCGACATTATTTATATTCAGAATACAAGTGTTGCTTTGTGACACATTTACCAAAAGACCCCGGTAAATTCTTGAAAATAATACGAATGTTAACGAAACTAATTTGTTAAGAGAATGTTCAAAGCTCTATTCAATTTGAGTAAAAAAAATTCGAAATTTCAGTCCGTAAGTTCTCTCAAGGATTTGCCTTTTTGCGAAGGCGCTAGTGTATTTGTAACATGCCTCAGCTACGCTACAGGAGATGAAATGCAATCCAAATTGAGGCTGCTATTTTTTTTTGCTATCATATACTTCCATTTTCCCTATTTATCACCATTAAAATGTATTATTTGTCACCAAAAAATTTTGGAGATATTTTTGGAGATAGCTAAAAATTGGGAAAAAGGTTGGCTATCCTATTTTAGCACTTTAGCGATAGCGAATGTTAGAATCCGGCTAATGGTCGACACAGTTGGCTTTTTGATTTCGAAAAGAACCTCATCAGCAAGAAACGCCATGTTTTCAGATCTAAATATTTAAGCATCCTTTCCAAATCGTTTCGCATAATTTTTATATTTATTTGATAAATAATTGCAAAAAATACGCGGTTTTTCTACTAAGAGTTCCATGCAACTTTCGCAAATATCAGCAGCACCAAATTTTTTTCAACATGGTTGACAACCGAAAAAGCTTTTCTTTTTTCGAATATCCAATCAGCCAAACTTCAAACAACTTGCCTTTTGAGATAGCATGATAGCCCAGAAAAAACAGTTTTTCTTGAAAACGGCTAAAAACGGCAAGTTAAGTAAAACAAATTCAACTCATTACATCTTAGTTTATCCATTTCCGATTCCATTTTGTTTGCCGAAAGTTAACAAAATTGTAAAAGCTTACATAAAATCATAAATGAAAACAAATCAGAAAATTTTTGAGGTTATGCAAATAAGTCATTTTTTTGCAAACAAATGACAAAAAGCTGCTTTTTTAAATTGGGACATTGGTTCTCACTTAGATATAGTTTTGTTTCCCATTTAAAATTTTCCTTTAGTTATTCACACTTTTCAAAAACAATGCACTTGAAATTTACAAAATAAACCGGTTGCGCAAACAACGTATCAATAACGTTTTGAAAGTGTAACTTTGGTTTATTGCTGTATACGGTGTTTTTTATTTTACAAAACCCTAGTGAAGTTTCTGTAATTTTGGAGTATTCCCTACAGAATGGCAACAAAAAATAATGTAAAACTGCCTTTACGAAATTGGACTTTCGCACAGCCAAATGTATCATTTGACCTAATGTGGACTGTGAAGAATTTTGGATAATTGCTTACGGCAGGTGCAGATCCAGCGGGGGGGTTTTGGGGGTTTAACTATGTGTCAGTCAGTGGCGGACCCACGGGGGTGTTTTAATACATAGACGCCATATTATACATACATATGCGCCATATTAAAACACACCCCGTGCGTCCGCCACTGACTGGCACGTAGTTTAACACCCAAAACTCCCCCCGCAACAGGCAATAAAATGTTTGGAAATGAAGTAATGTAGCCTTCATATTATTATCCTTGCCGCACTCATATGCTTTTGTTGAGCCGTTTTTTCAGTAATGAATTCAACAAAAACTAAGATTCGAAATAGGATGAGGTTGGAAAGCTTTATATGAAGGCTAATAGTTTCTGCTGCAAAACGTTTCCAATATCAAACAGTATGTTATCAAGGTTGAATAGCTCAATATATGGCAACAACAGAAATGTAAATGATTCAGACACTATAGGTGATTTTGAAGACACTGTGGAAATAGCTGATCTCGCCTTATTATAGGTTTTTATTTTATTTTTAGCGCCGAGCTCTTAAAATCGGATTGTGCGATTAATCAATTAATATGAGTTATAATAAATTTAATAATTGCGCAGTCCTATTGCAAAATGTGTTGAAACAAATATTTTTAAGAAGTATGCGTATTTTTAATGAAAATTGTTTGTACATCACTATTATATAAGTAATTTGTGTTATTTATTATTACCATCGAAAGGTATTATACTCGTTTTTGGTTTCAAAAACTATATTATAACAAAATCTCATTTATTAAATAAAAGATTTGTTAAATCGATTTCATGAATTTTATTAAAAAAAAAAATTGGCGATTTTTTCCAGAAATTGCGCTTTTTTTAAACAATCTGGACACCCTGAGCAAAAGCGACTGAGATGAATACCTTAGAGTTTTCGAAAGTGCCAAACTCCGATAATTATAAATTTGGTTTGTGTTCCTTACACGCATTGAGTGTTTATTGCACATTGCTTACCGAATGCCCTTTATGAGCTGGCAAGTGCAAGCTGAAAACAAGGTTGTGTTTTTAGAAAACAAAAGAAGGATTCAAATGGAATTTAGAAATAGGCTTGGTTTGATGATAGATAAAGTTAAGACGGTGTTCGGAAAAACAAACGGCGGTATTCAAATAATGATTTACTAAATTATTTACTAGTTTCTTCAGATCCTTTAATAGTATCAAAAAGGAAGCCAGTTTTGAAGAAATACGCATCATACAATATTGATGATTTAAAAAAAACATTTTGCCTGATGGTTCGGACAGTGAAAGTTTAACTAGCATGGAATGTAATTAATAGTTTTTAATCAAAGAACGTTTTAGTGGTTTTGAATGCGACTTTCTTTACTAAGTTTGCTTTTAATAAAAATTTCCTAAATACTACAACACAAATTTTTCCTTTCGTCTGACATCCATATTGTTATTAATATTTCCGTTACCTAATTCCATTAATTAAATTTAATTTGATTTTTCAAAGAGGTAGCAACCCTTCTTCGTGTAGTTTACAAGTAAAGCATTTTAAAAACCATTTCGATTGATATCCATATTGTAATACCTAATTTCTTTAACTTATTAAATAATTATAATTAACTTTTTAAAAAATGGCAACCCTTTTAAAAAACAAAACTTCATTGCACATATACAGACCAATCCCTGTAATTTGACTCCTCACTTCTTAAAATAGAGCGAACTATATGTGCATACCTATGTAAATGCTACAAGAAAAAATTTTCAAATTTAAACTGCTTTTACAATGGAAGTATGAAAGTTATCAAAGAACGAATTGCATTTTTGAATTCAGCGCTCTCAAGTTCACTAAGAAACAAATTCTCATTCAAATCCGTCCACAATTCTATTTTTGCCCACATTTTATATGGAAGGGCGGCACTGTGCAGCCAAACTAACAAAAGCATATATGCTGGCATGAATAACATTAGGAAGACCTAACACAATGGCCTAGTGGGCACAGCTATATGGTTGAGTATGTATTCGCTAGTTAGCAACCTTAAATTTTTACTAAGGAAAATATCCAATGATTGAAATAACATCAATAAATATATGTACTATATATGTATGTATGTGCATTAGGGTAGTCCAAAATAAGTAAAGTCGGAATTCTAATGATTTCAAAATAAAACAAGTAATTTTTAGCAAAAAAATAAACCGACTTAAAAAAAATATATATATATCTATATATTTCATGATCCAATGATCGGATCTAAACCAAATTAGTATGGGACCACCTCTGATACACCACCTTTCCGTTGCAAAAAAAAATTATTGAAATCGGTTGACGTGGTGCAAAGTTATGCGGTAACATACATAAAAAAAAAAATAAAAAATATTCCGACGAACTGATAACCTCCTCCTTTTTTGGAAGTCGGTTAAAAATAGGGGTATATTTTTTCGGTATAGAACAATCCGAGAGGTGAGGGCATACAAATTTCGACTTTACTCTTTCACATGTATTTTTGGACCAACCTAAAATGTGCATGCATGGTCGCGCTAGTAGTTATGTAGACTGTACGCATGTTTTATTAGAAAACATTTTATTATAAATATTAATGGCAATAATTACCTTGATCTTGCTCTATTCGAACGTGGCGGACACAATTATTTAGTTTAAAGCTCAAGGAGAATATATAATGATCATCAGAACTGTCTCGTACAATGAAACTTCCATCTGGTTCGGTAGAGAGGACTTTCTCCGCTGCTTCGCTTGACAAAGGACCCCAGTACCATCCGTACTTAAAAAACACATATCAGTATTGTAAAACGTAATATATTTTTTTTTGTGCTTACATCCTTCACTTTTTCGATGCTGGAAGTAAATTGTTGGGATCGGTATTCCTGTTTCTTCTTTGAATTTCCTTTGCATTGCGGATTTAACGGCTCAGCTTGTAAAAATAATGGAAGAAAGTGTATATGTATTTATTAAAATCCCAATTCATTAACGTTCTAAAAAACAAAATACACATTTTCAGTATTTCCCGCACATAAGTATCATAGGAAAATAATGTGTTCTATAAGTAAAGGTTGGACAACACAAATACTCGGAATGCTTCAAAAACTAGATAATAAATCAGAAAAAGTTAGAAGAAGATATGATTACACAGGCCAACAAAATTTTTTCCCTGAAACTAGGCTATCCTTTCTGAGGGTTTTCGATGAACTTAACCCTAATCTGGCAAAATTCGCTCACGTCAAAATTTTGAGATATCCTAACCTATGGCTATGGTTATGGTTATGTAAGGGTAGGTCTTCGGCCCATTGGCCCGCGACCAAATTATATCTATTGTGCCCCTATATCAACTTTAGTTGTTTAGTATTGAATACATAGTACATATTGAATAGTACATATCGACTGCTGAGTGGAAGATCGACCTATATCGGCAGCCAGTACCAAAACGCCCTACCTCAAAAATTTTATCAAACACTCCTTACTTCAGAATTTTATTAAAAAACACCCTATCTCAGAATTTGGTTGAAGAACGCCCTATCTCAGAATTCAGTTTAAAAGCGCCCTATCTCACTTCAAAATGTATAGAAAATGAGCTGATATAGGACGTTTTTGAACATGCACCTGATATAGGGTGTTTTTGAAACGAATTCTGAACTAGGGCGTTCTTCAACCAAATTCTGGACTAGGACGTTCTTGAAAAGTTTTTATATATAGGGCGTTTTCGAACTGGCTGACGAAATAGGTCGATCTTCCACTCAGCAGTCGATATTGAATTTTAAATATATTTGTTCTGCTTTGGGTCAATATCGTTGACCGTACAGTCGTTTAAAAATGTGGCTCTGCGGTGAGCTAGTGTTGGGCAGGTGGTAATGAGGTGTTTCATTGATTCCTCTTCTTCACAACAGAAACTGCATATGTCTGTACTACAGAGGCCAAGCCTATGGATATTAGGGTGCCCATCGAAAATGTTTGTTTTTTTTTGGATATTTCAATACCAACTGATAGCTCATTTATTGCAATCGCATAAAAATTGTCGAAGCTAGGTGACTTTTCTTAAATACGGCCTTGAATTTATATTGTTTATGTACCGGACTTTCAGATTTTTTTAGCAGTGTGACTAAGGAATTCATAATATTTATTCAAAATTGATATATACAATCGCTTTTAAGCAAAAAAAATGGTTTTTCAAAAAATTTTAGGAAAATGGGGGGGTGGCACCGCCCACTTTTATGATATATACGGTGACCATCCGTCCTGTATTATATGGGACAGTCCTCTTTTTTGACCCATTGTCCTGGTAATTTATTTATTTTATAAGGGACGCCAAATATTCTGTATTTCTTTTAATGTCCTGTATTTGTCACGTATTCGCTGCCTCGGTGCCTTAACAGCTCATTAAAATGGTATGCCTATGAACGAGTTTCAAGTGATGTTGTTAATGATCGTAATTTTCTCCATAAACATATATTATTGTCTAATCTGAATGCCTCTGATTCGAATCGAAGAATACATACAGTGAACAAAATAGAAATTTGGACTCGACATTTTGGTAAGTTTTGGCTATTTTGCCTTAGTTTATTTAATGTTTATTATTTATTTTATGAAAGTAAAGCTCTTTTCCTACCAAAAACCATATAATACCAAATTTCCAACTTTGTGCAAAACTATAAAAATTAATTCTGAAATGTTTCACCAAAATATCAAATTTTTTAATTATCATCTCTAGGAAAAAATTTCGTTTGCTGTTTTGTAACTCATTAAAATTGCGTATAATAAAGTGCGAGTGGAAAGTGCTGCTCATTTGCTTTTATTTCAAAAAAATGGTCGAACATACTTACTTTGTATGAAAAAGTGCGTAACACCGCCAAAAAAATTGCCAAAATTTAATCATAGCCTTAGCGACTTAAAATTGCACTTTATTATACTAAATTTTAACGGTCTTGTTTTTTAACATATTTTACGGGGTACAAATCTAGGGAAAATTATCCTACAAATTTGTGAAGTTACTAAAAGGATACTGTTTCAGGGCTAATATATCTAGGATCATTGAAGAAGGCTTTATCTTGCTTTATCTTTTATATCTATAAAATTTGGAAAATAATTTTTTGTCCCGTATTCGGCTCTCATAAATATGGTCATCGTAGATATACATATGTGTATCTCTAAAACTACTTTACCGCTCTGGAGCCGGTGGTTCTTGACGGATTTCAAATATTTTCAATAGGTACTTAAGGAAGCTAAGCACAATGTGTGTACCATGTGTGTATTTGATTGAGATCGGTCAAGTAGTTTTTGAGATACGCATATATCATATAAGTGGGCGGTGCTACCCTCATTTTCCTACAATTTCTTAAAAAAACTCTTCTTTGCTAAAGAGCGATTGTATATATCAATTTTTAATAAATATTATGAATTCCTTAGTCACACTGCTAAAAAAATCTGAAAGTCCGTTACATAAACAATATAAATTCAAGGCCGTATTTAAGAAAAGTAACCTAACTTCGACAATTTTTATGCGATTGCAATAAATGAGGTATCAGTTTATTTAAACATAGATTTAATTTTAGATAGTAATTGAAATTGTGGAAATTATCGATGGTCAAAATTTAAAAAAGTTAAGAGAAATATGGGTTTTTTATTTACCCGAAAAAAATCCCAATAAGCCAAGTCCGACAATAGATTATTATATACCATTTTAAAACACTATATATCTTCTTCTCAGATCATATTCCATCTTTGAAATCGAATTAAAAATAGTCATTCAAAAACTCATATATGTACAAAATCGTATTTTCTGACCTAATTCGACAGGTCGCGACCTCTAAATGACCTTTAAAAAATCTATAAAAATATCCAATAATATTTCTCATAAAAACGAATAAAATTTGGGTGGTTTCGGTAGAGTATTGAAATTAAAAAAAAAAAAGCGATTGGCACCCTAATGCATATGTTTGTAGTAGAGATGGGCACGGGACTAAATATTTAATCCCGACCCCGCCCATCCCGAAATTCGATTTTTAAGTCCCGAACCCGCCCATCCCGACAATTTTCAGAATTGTACCACGGGTCCCGTGGGTCCCGATATCTATCTCTAAAGCAGGCTACACACGATCGAAGGTTCACAAAAATGTTCATGTCTTTCATATTGATTTTAAATAATAATGAAAGATCTGGCATGTTCCTATAATTTTTTTTCTTTTTCGTCTCAATAAAACATTAAAAGTGCATATTTCAAACATCGTTTTTAAGGAAGATTTTGTGAATTTGCGGGGGTTGCGGTTTTATCGGGAGTGTCGGGAAAGGATTTTGGTCCCGTCCGGCCCGCCATATTTTTACAGATCTTCCCGATACCGCCCATCCCGGCCAATTTTAAATCAGTACCGTGGGTCCCGCGGGTCCCGCTATCCCGCGCTTATCTCTAGTTTGTAGCACATATAGAGCCTGTTAGTGCTCCACACAGTGTTTTTAAGTTTTTCCTACTTAGCATGAGCGCTGATTGAGCTCTTTCTTCACTAAAGTATAGGAATTTCTTTGAGTGATGGTGTTCCTCTAACTCAGGGGTTCCCAAACTTTTTTCACCGCGCCACCTTGTTGTGCTAAAAAAATATCGCGGCACCCCCACTCTCCAAAAAAACAGCAAAACACAATACAAACTGTATGCTCCTTTAGCTTTAATGTGAGGACTGAAATTGGTTTGATGATTTCATTATTTCTTTTAAGTTTATTGGGAGCTTTGACAATTTTACCCTGAAATCATTCTACGCTGAACGCTTGCTGGTGTATTTGTTTTTAACCGACTTCACAAATTCGTCGGAATATTTTTCTATTTTTTTTGTTATGTTACCGCATAACTTTGGACCAGGTTAACCGATTACTATAATTCTTTTTTTTTTAAGGAAAGGTGTTACCTTATAGGTCGTCCCATTCTAATTTGGTTTAAATCCGATCATTGGATCATGAAGAGATAATCTTAAATTTTTATATGGGGATTGGGTCGGTTTTGCTTTTTGCTGAAAAACTAGTTGTTTATGTAAGCATTTATTGAAAATGCTGTTTCACATAGGAGTCAAACCACGCCAAATGTGTCAATCAATTTCCATTGATTTTCTCGAAAGTCAAGCCAATTGTTGGAATCTGTAGATAATTATAAAACAAAAATACACTTTGGACGGTTTTTCGAAATTGCATTTTGTTTTTGTTTTTTTGGTATTATAAGAATATTGCAGTTTTTGAGAGAGAAATTCGTAACTCGCGACCCATTTGATGAAATTTGATGAAATGTTTTTTGAGAGTTGCTGAAGCTTTTCTCTTTACAATAGAAAGATTTGCAAAATAAAATTTGCAAAACACTTAATTCTTTAATAACCTTAATTTAAACAACTGCAATTATTTATATATTCTAGGCCCGCGATGCACAGTGGTTCGGATCGCATATCTAGCTGGACGAAACTATTTAAACAAATACTCGTTGATGGATCTTTACACCACTTCTTACCTAGGGCATTTTTGGGTCGCTGATTACGAATATGAAGTCACTTATCAATCCAATATGGCGGACGAAAATTAAAAAAAATCGCTAGATTTCTATGAAACTGGGTATCTGGGGGTTTTCTGGGTCTCTGATTACATATCTAAAGTCATTTACCAAAAATTCAAAATGGCGGATCCAATATGGCGGACGAAAATTAAAAAAAAATCGGTAGATTTCTATGTAACTGGGTATCTGGGGGTTTTCTGGGTTGCTGATTACGAATCTAAAGTAATTTACTTAATTTACTTTATTTACTTCGGAACGACCATTTTCATCATATATTTCTTTCAATTTACTAATCACATAATCACGGACACCTTGTTGTCTTTTAGAAGTTTCAGCAAGACTTCTCCAAATGTCAAACAACTCACTTCTTAAGATTTTCTTTACCATGACTAAAATTTAAGATCACAGCAAGAAACACGAATAAATTTC